GGGACGGCGCTCTGCACGGAGCAATGAATGTGAGCAGAGACAAGGCTCAGGGAGGTGACATCTCTATCCCAGCTGTAGCAGCCAGCCAGGCTGGCCTTGGAGGGGAGCCAGGGTCCGGCTGTCTTCACGGGGAAAGCATGGAGAGTCACGGGGACCAGAGACTTTCCTCCAGCAACGAGCTACCAGTCTATTCGTGCCCTGGGAATAGAGAGCGGCCAGGCGACAATCGGAGCAACACCCCTGGACAAGAGGGGGCCGGGGCGGCTCTGCCGGTGGTCCACAGAACCACCTCGTTTTCCGTGCTGGACATTCTGGACCCCAACAAATTCAACAGCAAAAAGAGGCAGTGCTCGGTGCTGTACAAATCCGCAGGGAGCGAATTCACTCTCGGGGCAGAGGCCAAACCCGAGGACTCGGGCACGGAACTAGCAGATCCAAAAGCTCTGGCTGACGACTTTGAAACGTGCAAAAAGTCCTCGGGCTTAATCAGTAAGTACGTTTTGCATGTTCACCTCCACCCCTCTCGGCCGGGTCCGAGGGGAGAGGTACCGCGCGCCTGAAACGTTAGGCGGGGGGGGGGGGAACAGGCTTCTAAAGGTGAGGCTTAGACCCCCACCGTTCCTGCTCCCTGTCAGCTACAATCCAGGGGGCAACAGCACGTGTAGACGCGGGGAACCCGCTGTACAGTTATTAAAGCGGACTGCATCCGTGTGTAGCAAGGGCTGACTGGTTTGTGATGCCTGCCGGTTTGTGCGCCCCGGGCAAGGTGAAATCTACCCGGCCTTTGCCCTCCTTTCAGGCGCATCAAGTTTCAGGCTGGGCTCTGGTTGCAAGTTGGAGACTCTGTGATGTGCCTGTATTGTCAGTCACATGCCCCCTTTCCCTTTCCTCACCAGGAGTCCTGAAAATCCAAGCAGACACACGCTAAGTAACTTCAGCTGCAGTTCTGCAAACTAGGGAATGCAGGCGCAAATTCGGGGCACTCACCTCACAATCAAACTCTGGGTTCTGGTGCTCGCGGGCTGGCTAGAAAGCGATCCATTGCAAGGGGTAATGTTGTATTAAATGTACCTAGTTCATCACGCCTCACTGAATTACTTTGATTACTGTCGCACAATAACAACTTCTGTCCTGGTGTCTTTTTTCTGTCCTCAAGGATACCAGGTATATGTAAGTTACACCTGAAGCAAAAACTTACCAGGATAATTGGGGAGTGCAGGCCATTTGAATGAGAAGGCCCGTCGGATTTTTAAATTTATTCTCAAAGCCTCAGATTTGAGGCTGTATCTTCCAAGTATCCAAGTCGCGTTCCTGACTTTTTCATGTCTTCCTCCCTCTCCCCCCGAACCATCTCCCCTCTCTACCCCACCCCCCAGCCTGCTGAGCGTTGCTGTGGGCGACAGATTCAATTTTCTCTCTCCCCTTGGCTTTTTTAGGACAAATCAGACTAATTGTGACAAAATGCTGGTTATCTCTGGAAAAACAATTAAATTCCTTCGATTACATTTAAGGTAAAATGTGCTTAGCAGCGTAAAGAGGCTGGATAATGGGGGAAATCGCCCCAGAGTGGCATGTAGGACTCCCTGGGTCGATATCCTATTATCGAATTGTGCATATCTCTTTCAAGCACCTTGCAAACTCTCTCCTAACATCTAAATTATAGGGTCAAAATTCGGATAATTACTCGATTAAAACCTATTACACTTATTAGGGCTCGCTATTGATCGGGAATTGCATTCGACCCAAGCTCTAGATTGCTTTTGCTTTCCAGGTCCAAATATCCCAACTTTCTCACCTCTAAATGCTGTGACTCTGAAGATATTAGAGCACTTCCGGGAAAAGATAGCCCATGTGAAAAATATCTATAGATATTCTGTGTATGGAGAGTTGGGAACAGCAGTGAGCTGTGTATATGTGATACTGTACAGCCTAGAAAATGAACTTCTTTACAATTCTACGGCTGCTTTACAATCCTGCGATACAAGGTCCACGTAGGTTTATTTCTACCTGTTTTGACGCTAGCCCCTTAATAATCTATTTTTAATAATGAAAGCAATAGCAAGCCGCTAGACGTAAACAGAATTCCAAAGAGATTTTTAAAACTCCGAGTATACCTCAAGTAAGTGTGTGTCTCAACTGATCTGACTTTTGTCATATTAAATAGATCTGTGCAATCAGAAAGACCGACGAGGTCAGCCTATCACCAATCTTGTACTTTATCTCCAGACAAGGAGAGAAATGCAATTCTATCCTTCATTTCTCTACCAGTAAATATATTTAGAAACACCAGGCAATATTAAACTTTGTTGGCTGGCAAGCTGGCTAGGGATTTTGCACAATTCCTTTCTTCAGTCCTAACTGTGCTACTATTTTGTAACGCTAGAAACATCCAAACTTGCGCTCCGAAATCACGCAAGTTACATCGCATTATGGTTCCACCATCACCTTAGGTACTAGTTAACTATAGTAGATCAAGCAGTTGATTTAGTTCGGCGGCGATGGAGCAAAAGATCGGAAAATAAATTATGATTATCGACAACCAGAAAATAAGTACGTGCACCTTGCAAAAACACATTTGGTTTTAGGAATAACTGATAAAACTCCGACTAATTTGTTTTGTATTAACACAGTTACAAACCTAGAATGATGTTGCCTTCCACAATTTCAGTGCAGTTGTTGCCTAAAAAATATTTTAATAATCCTGCCTGAGAGAGAGGCTGAGGGACATTTACAAATTATTGCAAAAAAAAAACAAAACCCCTTTAAAGTCATCAACACAAATACTCTGTCATCTGGATTGAACGTGTGTATGTTGCTATGTTTACCCCCAATAAATAAATATTCGTATGTGTGCAAAAATAATATGGAAAGGTGCGTGTACAAAAATATAATCGACAATGGCATCCGTCTATAATTTTATTTTGATGAGATGTAGATTATTTTAACTGTATTTCACCTTCGTGCACCATTTTCAGTTTAAAACCCCCTTAATCACATTCTCATATTTCTATATATGTCATAATTCGAGACCTCCATTTTCTATCTTTTAACACCAAGATGGAAATTATTAGTTTTAAAAGTCCCCAGGTTACTAAACACTGCTTTTGCGGGTGACCATAATAAACTTCTCTCTCTTTCTCGTAGGGAGCAAGCAATATCCAAGGTTAACCGAAATTCGCTTGTTTCACAGAACAAAATCTTTCCACTTTTAAATTTCTCAAATTTAAAACTAATCCTCTATAATGGATCATTTGTTTTTAGTGTTTAGCAAAGTTTGAGACCGAGTGTTTAGCCTTAGTGTTTATGGAACTGAAATGACTGAAGCTAATACATAATGGGACATAATGGTCAACTCTCTACTTAATTTGTAAAAGGGAGGGGATTTACACATAATAGCTATGCTGGGCTATCTAGGTGTAAATAGCAGATCCATTCAGAAAGTTTAGGAGTAACTAAATGTGATGAGCACAAGGTATTTTTATTTTACTCCAGGCTGACCCGATCCTGCATTTGATGTATTCCTAGATTTTTTTATTCTACACTGGGAGTTTGGAATGGGCAAAATAATATAACATCCGGCCTCCCAGGTCTCAGAAATGTCTGAGGCATGGTCTACGGAGCGAAACACCTCCTTTACAAATATTATTTCAGGTTTCAGAACGATATTATCCTCCCTGGAAGTACAAGGGCCCTAAATATCGGATAATTACCTTGTTCTCATCTGGAGTCCCGTTAATTGGAGCATAATATAAACCCAAATAAATTAAATGACCGTTAACTAGTTTGTACATTACACAAAATGAGTTTAATTAAGTTTGTATCTGCTCTGCTAATCAATACAAGTATTTACTCCAGTTTAATACTTCTACCTTAGGAGCAGCACTAGAAAACAAGACGCAGAAACGGTGAAAATATACCAAAATAGAAGGCAGCAAAATCTTCCATTAATTCGGATAAATAAATAACTAAATTTAAAAGTGTAATAGAAAGGTCTTCTCTTCTGGCTGCACGAAACCTCTCTGTCATTCCAAAATGCCCTATATTAATTATTGTTCATTTCCCAAGTCCCAATTTTTCAAATATGTATTCTAAAGTTATTGCATAAAGAAATGTCCAATTTCTAAAATGTTCAAATGATTTTAATATTAGCATCATTATTCCTGATTCTTCTGGGCAGAAATTCCATGAAAGGCACTAACTGTGATTGCTTTTATAAGGACTAAATATAGTAAAATAATGAGATCCATTTTATTTCTTAGCATGTCACCATTATTTTAATGCCGAAAAGGATTAAAGAATGACTACACAGCAGGACTTCTCATTATGGACCACTACCTAACATTCTATATTTGTAAAGCTTTTACCTTGGTTAGTTAGGGGGTTCGGTCTATGTTATTTCTTGTCCTAGCTTTAGTCAAAGGTGGCTTTTGTTTTGTTCCTGAAACGCACTTCGGGGCTTCCTATTTGGAGAACATTTTGAATGAAAGATTCCTTCCCCCAGAGTTTATTCTATACACTCACCCCTAAGTGATTCTGAAACATTTTTCTACATTTTTGCAATATTTGTGCCATCCCAATTACAGTGAAAATGGGAAATCCAACCCCTGGCCTATTAAGCAACTGTTGCAAGCTTAGTTTATCATCTTTTCCCCCTTGCCCGCCAACCCTTTCTTAAAACCCTCTAAATACTCAACAAAGATGTGTGGCGTCTACAAGTGCTAGAATCCACCCACCACTCAAAGGAAACCCCCTGTCCCAGAGAGCTTTACAACACAATCCTGCCAGGTCAAGAGGATTCTCCTGGTTTTCTTCTTTATAAAGGGCAGATTTGCTCCAGGCCTGCCCCTCTCCGTGCCATGGGAAGAGGGTATGAGAGACTCTCTGTCTGGAAGAATGGTGGGTGAGGTTTTATAAAGTGCCTCTCTGAGGATGCCTGATTTTGCTGTGTAACAGTGAGACCTTTCACAAATGCCCCCCCGTCCTCATAAGGTAGGAAACCTCAGAACACCTTCAATTAGAAGTCGCTGCATTTTGAGGCCCAGCAGCAACCCGGAGGGAAGAAACCAGGACTGTTTCCTGCCAACTTTCCCCTGCTCCTAACCCTTCTGCTTCTCCGGTAGACAATGGCTTTGCCTAAGGAGCTTGGGCTGGAGAGGGGGAGGTCAGATTCCCATTTTGTGCCCTCACTGAAGCCTGATTCTGCCTCCCCCTTTCCAGTGGGTCTGTGTCTGAACACCCTGGGAGCCTCTTTTCCTGCCCCTTTCAGCTTGGCAGAGCTGGGGCCGCTGCCGGCGGGGTGGGGCGGGGGGGGCACGGGCGCCGGGCCTGGGCGGGCCGGCTGGCAGCCCCCAAAC